ATGGCCAAAAATACGGTCAACCAATCACATGGCCCAAAATATGGTCAGGCCAAAAATGCGGTCAACAATCACATGGCCCAAAATGCGGTCAACCAATCACATGCCCAAAATAGGGTCAACCAATCACATGGCCCAAAATACGGTCAAGCAGTCACATGGCCCAAAATACGGTCAAACAATCACATGGCCCAAAATAGGGTCAACCAATCACATGGCCCAAAATACGTCAAGCCAGTCACATGCCCAAAATACGGTTCAATCACATGCGCCCAAAATTCCCAATCACATGGCCCAAGGTCAAGCAGTCACATGGCCCAAAATAAGGTCATGCAATCACATGGCCCAAAATAAGGTCAAGCAATCACATGGCCCAAAATACGGTCAAGCAATCACATGGCCCAAAATACGGTCAAGCATGCCGGTCAATGGCCCAAAAATATGGTCAAGAATCACATGGCCCAAATTGCGGTCAACCAATCACATGGCCCAAAATACAGGAAAGCAGTTACATGGCCCAAAATACGGTCATTAGGCTTATTTGAGTGGCTACGTGACAGGTGCGCGTCTTGTAGGCTGGTGGGCAGGGAAAAGACTCTATGCCGCCCTTTTGCTATGTTATTTTCTCTTTTTATGCATAAGCATTTTTAGTTTTTTGCTATTTTGCAATATTCTTATTTTTCATTTGATTTGTTTTATTCAAATAGTAATAGCATTTTCTTTGCACAGCCTCCCATGTCATTTCTCTAGGTAGTCCATAACCTAGTACAGTAACTATAACAATAAGTAATATTTTGTTATTTGTGTAATTTAAACGTGTTTATTTATTTATTTATTTTTGATTTATTTTATTTTTTTATAACCCAGTACAGTAACTATAACAATAAGTAATATTTTGTTATTTGTGTCATTTAATTTGTGTGTGTGTGTGTGTGTGTGTGTGTGTGTGTGTGTGTGTGTGTGTGTGTGTGTGTGTGTGTGTGTGATATTCATGTTTCTGTAATACGACCTACAACCTGTGCTCCCATCACAGTGCCCAGGAATAGGATGTTGAGTATGGAAAGGGCATCCTCTCTTTAGCCAGTGCTCTTCCAGCACATTCCACTCTCTTTTATCGATATAAATAATGCAAAAATCCCTTTCGAAACTTCAAATGAGTCTAATCACCTCCAAGAGATTTTTGCACTCATGGCGAGTCTTTTCTATCACCCAGACTTTAAGCCGAAATTCTTACGATAACAAGTTCGCCTCATTCCTGCCCACAGCCAGATTGTCCTATGATGGCATGTTTATGTCACCTGTCCCTCAAGACAGATTTTTTATGATGTGATGGTCACATCATCTGGATCATAGGAGTTAGATAAATTTAGGTACAGACATTGATGCATATTGTAATTTCCATTACATGTATTCCAGCTTGTATGCATACAGGCACACACGTTCACTTTCCAGCACCGAAAGATTGCAGTATATGGTTATCAAGTGTTGCATTAATACTGTCCTTATTTTATGTTACTATTCATTTTTACTTCATTTATTCCCCAAAATGCTCAGAAGTTTAATTTACACTATGTTGACTAGTAAAAAAATAATTCTGTGGTAAGATATCTCAGAGACATAAGTAAATTTAACAAAATTTAAGTATAGACATTGAGGCATTTTGTAATTTCCACTGCATTTATTTATACTTGTATACATACAGGCACAGACATTCACCTACATGCACAGAATGATTGCAATATATCAAGTGTTACAGTACATTAATACTGTCTGTATTTTATGTAATTATTCATTGTTATCCCAAAATGCCTCTAGCACAGTATTCTTTATTTGTCTTCTGTTCTCTTTTCACTGTTAATTTTGTTTTTTGATTGCAAAAATTACCAGAAAACTAGTATCTGTCGAAGATTTTCTCAAAAAAAAAAAAAAAAAAAAAAAAAAAAAAAAGGAATGAACTGGTACTGATAAATAGATAGTTACATGAAAACAGCTGATGGTGTGATCAATATTACAAGCCTTTAGGTTGAAACGTATCCATGTTGACAAATGTAGAAAAGGTATGAATGAGACTGGATATCTTCACAATACAAGAGATGTATGAATTACCTCTTTCAGAAATACATGTACTTGAAGAGGTAATCGAAACCAGTCAAATACATCTCTTGTATTGTGAAGATATCCAGTCTCATTCATACCTTTTCTACAAAGCCTTTAGGTTCCAATTTGTAATGACTTTGTTGTTAGAAATAGAACTTTCAGAGAGGCAAGTGCTATCTATGAAGCTCCATGATATATATATAAAGTTATTTTGACCTTTAATGAGAGTTTAAGATTTATCCATTTTGCTTTGGTTTCAGGTAATATTACACCTGTTCATTATGATGAGCAACAGAACTTCTTTTGCCAATTGGTCGGCTACAAGAGGTGTATTTTGTTTGCTCCTGAGTACTATGATCGCCTCTATCCGTATCCTGTGTATCATCCCCATGACCGCCAGTCTCAGGTAAGCCTGCCACGGGCGTTCAGTTGACTCCAACTATAGGTTTGTTATTGTGTATGTACTATCATATCTATCTTATGGCAGAATCCCTGATTAGTGTAATCCTAAATAAGTATATTTGCATTGAATAAATCATTCCTTTTTTAATGTTTTTGTTCATGCTGTGTTGTTGTTGTTTTTTTGTATGCTAGTGTTATTAATGTATTTTTTCCATTTGTGATGTATGAATTTTTTATTTAAATTTTTTTCTTCTTCTTTTTAAGATATATTAGTATATATAAAAGCTTTTTGTCATAAATAACTGATAGGAATAACTTACGTGCTCATATAGGGTAGTTTTAATGCTTTTCCTTCTTTCTTTTCTTTCTTTTCTTTTTAAGATTTCTTGTTTTTCAAACAAAAAAACGAAAAATGTCTTACTCAGAGGATCAGTATGCCAAAGAAATACAATGCAGATATATGTTTCCAAAGGAATAGTTACATGTAATACTACTTTTGGGGGGCAAGCACAGCCAAAGGTGTTCTCAGACCAGTTTATATATAGTGTGTGTTTGTGTGTGTGTGTGTGTTTTTATTGTAAATATATATATATTTATTTATTTATTATATATATATATATATATATATATATAATATATATATATATATATATATTATATATATATATATATATATTATATAATCTGGTCGAGAAACCGTTTTCCGGTTGTCAGTTATCTGGTTCAGTCAATTTTCTGCCATTAGTCTCCACAAGAGTATTTCAGATTTCCTAGGTGATCATATGGATCTGCCCCTTCTGTTTGCTGGCATTACCTGTTACCTGTTGTTTGTAATTATGCTGACTGGGAAATTATCCGGAGCGCATGAGTGGAGCGAAAAGGAAATTATGAATATGAGGATGATGTGTTTTTTTTTTAATAGACTAAATCAGCTGTATGGTGAAATGGTTGATTGCGAAGAAGCTAAAGAGCCAAAAGTGATATCCATGTGAGTGAGCAAGGAGAGGTGTAGGGTTACAGAGAGGAGGAGGTGGAGGGACAGTGTGAATTCCAAGGAGGGGGGAGCAGCATATCTGGCATTATTCGTAACTTCGTGTTCTTCCTATTTGTTTTTTTGTTTAGTTCTCCGCCATTGTTATTTGATTAGATGTCTATGCAGAATTTTACATGATAGATTTGTAATTCTGAATGGTTGAGGAACACTTTAAGCCTTTTTTTTTTTTTTTTTTTTAATGTTTTAAGAAAATTGACTCAGACTTAAGTATCCCCTTAAGCCAACGACACCTGACCAAATATTCACTGTTCAGCATGTTTACTGGGAAGAGTTGGAGCAGTCAACCAGGTCTTTGCTTCTGGTGGCTGACCTGGCAAGCTCACCACGTGAAACTGGCATGCCAGCGCAAGAGTCATGACAGCTAGAGCTGTACCTAGCTCATGGCCTATACATCTCATGACAACTATTGTCATTCCCATCTGCATGGGGTTAAAGGGCAAATTAACCTGTAGGAAAAGATTTTTATAAGAAATCGAGCTATTGGAAGTAAATGATTACACTTTTCCATATACCTACTATTTTGGTATATCTTTACTGTCCATGTACAAGAATGCCCTATGCCATGGAGTTCAGTGTTCTTGACATTATTCACTAAATGCTTATGAATTTCCTTAATAATTAACTTAAATAGAATCTTCATCATCCCAAAATGTCAAAATGTTCTGAATTCACTTCCTTTTAAATATATCTGATTGTTGTTGAAGTTTCCAAGAGCATTTTCAATTGAAAAATATATGATTGACAAACATGTCGGTGCTCACACCACAATTATTTCTCGCTCAGTTTGCATCATTGCTTCTTATGTTAGTCATCAGGACCAGGAAATAATCAAAAGTGATAATTAGCACTGCGAAGAGGAGAGACGGAGGTTATGGCTAGGGAGATGCTGGTGTGGTGGTGTCTTCTGCAAACCATTGGACTCCTTTTCTGTTTCTTCCCGTATCTTCTCTCTGACTCGCCGGCAACTTTCTAATTACAGCATCATAAAATGATAGAGGATAACAAAAAGCAGTTTGGAAGAACAAATGGAGGAACATAAAAAATAAAGGGTTCAGCTGGAAATAACTGCATACATTCACTGATTTCGTAAGAATAAGAATTGAAAAAATATAAAAATCCAGTTTTTGTACCACAATATACCACAGAGTGACACACCCAACTTACTGAAATAGACTCTAATTTATAAAATCAAGCTACTACAGGTTCAATGTACTAGAATGAATATCATGCATCTCGGAATATGTTAAAGCAATAAAATTATGTTTCAGATACAAGTGATGTGTAAAAAAACCATACTGCTTCGTGGTGTGGAGAGTGGGATGTGCAAGTCAAGTATGAAATAGGCCTAGAGGCGAAGTGCTTCTCAAAGTCTTCATTGATATTGGGTTAATGATTCCATCATTCTGTTACTATGTGAGGAATTTCTGTTTAATCACAATGTGTCCTCCTTATTGATACTATAATCAAAGTGAATATAGTATAGCTTTTATATCCTAAAAACTGGAATGAAGAATGCATACAAATGATAGGCTTCACTCCAGCTATCTTACCTTCAGAGTGATATTTTATTAAGTGCATTGGATGTCACTCTGGGAGATCCTTAGACTTCATCAACAATCATTGGACTAATAACAGATCTGAAAATGCTTTATTGGATATTGGTTAAAGCCATCTTCCAAATTCAGAAAAGGGCAACCCCAGGTGACTTTAAAGACTGAGGTCTCCAAACATTGTAGTAGCTCTTGAACATTAAGCAGTAAGCAAACTCCTTAGTATAGGACACCTGGTCCAACACCATCATCCAGCATTTATGGGGGTCTAGTAAAAGATTTTGCTCAATTAATAGCAGTACTGGGGACATATGTCTTGGTACTATAGTTCAATACTGTTGCTTGTCAGACCAGAAAGTCAACAGACTGATTAACCTTTGGAGTGTCATAAACCCTCCTTTCCGAGTGGCAGCTATAGCAGCGCCACACACTGTGGGTGACCTAATCAGGAAGTAAACTCCAATTTTACACCATTCTAGAAGGTGCTGATGGTGTCAATGGCTGATAGTCATTAACCTCTGAGAAGGAGGAGGAGCATCATCAAATGCTGGCACAGTGAGTAATGACTGAGGTGCAAGCACCTATATATATACAGGAAAATTCTCATGCTTCAACCTGGCTGGGAACATGGAATCAACCGTTGCCAATGAGGTCAAAGCAGCCTTGTCACATAAAATGACCAATCACATTATAGTTTAGTGTACTGAGATTACTTCCTTATTTGATGTCATTTACTACTGCATGGAATGGCAGTGGTAAAGTGATATCACTCCTTTTATGACATCTTGGAAGTAGTTATGGTGACAAATGATGTCATTGCCTTAGCTTCATGGTTTCATCTACATCACTTTGTGACATCACTTCCTCAGCCTCATGACCACGTAAAACTTTGCGACATTCCCATGTACCATGAGTGACATTACTTCATCAACCTGACTGTCTGTCTGTCAGTCTACCCATCAATATATATCAATATATCTGTGTATCTCTATTTGCTTGCCTACTTCTCTATCTCTCTAATTATCTCTCTCTCTCTGCCTACCAGCCTACTTCTCTGTCTGTCTATTTATCTATCCATCTGTGTTTGTCTCCCTTCCTCCCCCCTTAGTCACAGCTTTTGTTTCTGCTTTCATTCTGATTTTCTGCTTTCACTATATATGATCTAATATAACTTGTGGTTACATATACTATCAGGAATCATCTTGGAAATATCTATGTCAAAACATTACACGTGAGATGGTCGAGAACATTAGTATCTCACACATGAGATGCTAGGAAATGGTGCCACTGTTGGGACACCCATCAATTGTGGGTTAACCTGCTGGCAGGAGTCATGATCTTATTGATAGTAGCATCTGAATAGCTTGGTACCAGTGCTGAAGAACCAGCGTACTCTGCTTTATAGTGCTGAGATTGCCAACAAAATCAGAACTCTGTTCTGTGGTATGGATTCTCATCCTTACTTCATACTGTATGGAACAATTGGTAGGGCCTTGTCTCCAATCAGTGGCTACATCATAGAACTAACTTGAGATCTGTTACATTTTCTCTGGATCATTAACTTGATTCCTGGGGGATGGCCCTACCTTCCCATCAGACTTCTCGAGACAATCCTGGGGAAGGAGGCTTTTGAACAACCTTAAAAGTAATGGATTTGACTAATGACCAAACTTGAAGTAGGGATGGGCTATGCCTCAGTCTGGCAGTGCACCATGATGAACTTGTAAGGCTGGAAGTGAAGAATGGATGTGGCATTTCTCAATATTGACTGATTAGTTCTTACATAAATTTAGTTATTTAATTACTGGTATTTGAGAAAATCACATTTAGAAGAAGTCAATACCTGTATAGGGAAATATGTGCAGTTGTAGTATACTCTCGATATAAGAAATTGTAAAATATTCTGTAGCCTTTTGTTTTTAGTGTACAAAGTCATTTTTGTCCCAAAGCTCCCAGCAAAAGCCCCACCCAGGACGGTTCCCTTAAGGGTGAAGGGAACGTTACCCCCCTGCCCCATCCCTTCAGTTTTTTCTTGTTTCTGCTTTAATTTTCAAGAATTCTTCTAATAAACAAAAAATGTCTTCAGTGACTTTCAGGTCTTATCTCCTACAGTGCAACTCCTGCTAGAGAAAGAGGTACAGTTGCTAACATTATAGAAAAGGTTTACGAGTCCAATACACAGTAATTGTATTGGAAAAATGCACTTCAGAATACTATTTGCATTGATGTAAGATAAAGTTCTTTTAGAGGGGGAAAATATCTAAATATAAGGATATTTATCAGTAGTGTATACATTCTATATACTTAGCCCATTTGTATGTATATTTTTATCAGAAAGTTAAAAGAAGGAAAGTATTTTGAAGCAAAGTAAGATGCTGTACCAACAGTCTGTATTTAACC